AGAAAACGAATGCTTCATATTATCTCCAGTAAAATACACACACAGTTACTCTCATTACCTCGTATTATCAAACAAGAAATTTAAAAATTGAAACCACAGATGGATCTCGTTTTGCAAGAACAGAGTGTGGAGGAATGAATGTTTCAGGATATTTTACAATTTATTGAAAATAACTACAGACTTAAAAATCAGAGCGATTCGTTTTTTTGATTCTGCTCAAAATAAACTCTGATGTTGTATGTTGAGCTCTAATCGTTCTAAATACTAATATGTCGCTTCTGTCGAATAAGATTAAAGCTTGTGTACTCTCATTGACAGGGAATATTTCCGTCCAAACATATGTAGCTGATACTACAATTGACATAAAGTCTCTATTTTTTATGTTAGCATCTGACGAAAGAGGAAACAAGAAAGGTTGTAGAACGATATGGATGATCATTTTTCTTTTTACAAACATACGCGTTCAACTTTGTGGTAAAAATTGAGTTACAACTGTCATCTCGAGAATTGTGAATATTTCATCACAAACTTATCACTACTCGCAGTATTATGCAGATCTTACTTTACAATAAAGAAAATTCGACTTACTATCTATGCTGTTCTGGAACAAAATGAAAAGATACTTTCGAGCTCTTTCCTTTCGTTATGAAGTTCTCTTCGACTATATAGTAATTCAATGAGAGCTTGGCATGTTTCTGAATGAATTTGATGTTTGAGTATGCAATGAAATGGATCAACTATCCCACAGCCATGCTCTATACTAAATGAAATATCTATTAATACTATTGAGCGAAATGTAGTTTTTTTTTCACTTTCATTTCTTTCGTATTTTTTATAAGTTAAACATAACTAATGATTCCATTTTTCAACGACTAATTAATCAAGAAGTGATCTTTACTAGGATGAACACTCTTTTATAACCGATAAAAATGTGAGATATTGTGATTTACATAGTGAAAATATTCAATTGTTTTTTTATTTATGAAATATATTGTATAAAAAAAAATGTTTTTTGTTTTTGTCCTTTCTCTTCTTTAGTTGCTAATTTAATTTATCTGTTCTCTCTAACTATTACCTTGCGACTTGTGTCAATAAAGATAAGAATCATTTTTTACGTAACTTGGTCAGCAAAAAGGCATCTATTTAATATTCTTCTAGTATAGATATTATCGTCGAACTGTTCATTTGTGTAACTAATCATATCCAATCAAAAACACAAAAAACAATGTTATTTTATATAGTGATTCTATTCTCGCTGATTTATTCAGCATTTAGTAGCATATCATGCTATGATTGTTCACTTTCACCTGACAAATACAATTATATTATTACATCTAATATGATCCCATCGGAAATTCTCACTTGTCAATTTAAAGTTAATCAAACTGGATGTCTTATTGATATCAGATGGTATTTAACTACAAATATGACTGGAATTAATTTCTTAGCCGATGAAACATTATCATCACCATTAGAACATACACTTCGTGTTAAAACTTTGATGTCAGGATTTGGAGTTATACAACAAATAGAACATTCATTTTATTATTTTTGTACAACTGATCGATGTAATGATGCAAATGTATTCAAACGTATATTAGAATCTTTATCATTAAGTAGTCAATTAAATGAACTTAAAGATCTTTTGAAACCAGAAGATCCATTTGATGGTCGTAATTGTTTAATTTATGCAAATACAACTGATAAAAGTTGTAACATAACTAGTGATATTGATTCTAAAATTTGTAAACAATGTTCAACAACTTTTACAACTGAAACTACAATAGATACGATATGTGCAACTTGTTTTCGTGATAATGTATATGGAGATCATTTAGGTGAGGAAGTTCTTTTCAATATGACTAACCAAGCACGTATATCGAGTTGGTTTATTCGTTGTCGATCACAAGGTTGTAATGGACTTAATATTGGCCGACAAATTCATAATAAAAGTCATATTTCATTTGATTTTAATAAGTTTCTAAGTCATAATACTAGTAGCAAACAAACAACATCGTCATCTTTAATTACGATTATTATGATTATCATAGCATTTATTATCGAAACTTTCTATTGATTGATGATACATTTGTTACGTAAGATGATCAAATATATATTTATTTATTTTTGTATTCTAATCAAAATTTTAGGTTTATGATTAAAATGGAAATCAAAGGATTTAGCATGATAATTTTTTTCAACGAAAAATATAAGAGATTCTTTTCACAGTTATTAATTTTATTGCTGTGCATACTGTTGATTTCTTAGTCACCAAATCTCTGTGAGACAATAATTGAAACAGAAGAATCATAAACCTATTGATATATCTGTATAACCAACGTAAATATTGCAAAAAAACAAAATGAATATTTTTTTTATATATCTATCATTACAAAAGAGGTTGGAAGTGAAATATTAATTTTCAGTAAGTAGACCTTGCGTATAAATAATAAAGATATATGTAAGTTTTTGAGAGTATACAAAAACAATAAATTGCGTCTTTTATCTAAGAATATTTTTCTCCTTTCTTTGCTGATAAAAATTGAGATATTCATTATTTATAGTAAAGCAAGATAAAAAAAAAGAACTTGTTAAACAAACTATACTATCTTTGATATTGTGATAATATAGACTATTCGAGATTTAAATATTTAAGAAGGGCTTGTCAAATGCAAGAATATTGTGTTTAATTGTAACAAATTGTTCTCTTTATTATGTATTAATCATAGGCAATTGTTAGTAATGAGCAATAAGAAAAAAACAAAGAAATGTTATAGAAAATTCCGCTTTCGATATATTATTCAATCTCATTCTTTTTTGTTTATGCTTCTTAGAGAACGATAGGTTGAATAGAAAATCTGTTTTTGTTTTTGTTTTTGCATATCATCATTCACTAAGCGAACTAATACATATTTAAACTCGTTAAAATTGACTTCATGAACTGATTTCGTTCGTATATTTTGCATAATTCTACTATGTTTCTTTTCTTTTTTCTTTTTTTATTTGTCAACGAATCCACACTTGAAGAATCGATGTTTGATTTATATTTCTTGAAATCGAACATGTAGATGGTAAATGTTCATGTAACCATTGAATAAGTTCATCATTTGTTGATGATGATGATGATGTTTTATGATTCCATTTATCATCTTTACAGTGAAAAATTAATGATTGAAGATTGCTCATATTATTAATTAAATCATTTACATTTGTTCGATCTTTTATATCAATAACAAGAGTTTGACATTGACGTCCTAATGAAGAATTTGCTAATGCAATACATTGTTCTTGATTGAAATACCATCTATATAACATTGATTCTTTAGTAAAAAAATCTAATCGACGAATTGATGTATTTTGAAATTTAAATAATATAATTTCTAAATCAGATACATGAGAAAATCTTAATAAATGAAGATAAGGTGCACGATTAAGTAATAATTGTAATTGATTATAAACAGAATCTTCAGGTAATAATGTAACATCAAGAGATATTAAATGATTTAATGATGGAATATTGAATAAGAATTTTTCATTAAATGGAAGTATAATTTCCAAATGAGATATATTTAAAAATTTTATAGGAAAATATTCGAAATTATTTGATATATTACTTTCATGTTGAAGATTTTGAACTTGATTATAAAATAAATAATCTTCTTCATTTGGACAAGTTGATTTTGAACAAGATTCATTTATAAAATTAAAATCATTAAAAGCATATGGTAAAGTATAAAGTATAGCATGACTAAATACATTTGATGGATTCCAATCACATCGAACAAACCATTGATGTTGTTGAATCCAAAAATTTGTTTGAAATGTATTAAGTAATTGATCAATTTTATCTTCTAAATTATTACTTTGAGAAAAATGAAAATCCATTTTTAATTGAAAAATTTTAAGATTTGGTAAAAATTGAATAAGAATTTTTTTCCATTCATTTCCATTTAATAATAAATATGATGTACTCAATGTTAAAGAACGTAAATTAAACATTATTTGAAAAAGATTTATCATTGTTGCTATTGAACCTTGAAATGAGAGATTTAAATTTTTTAAAAATGGAATACTAGTTTGAAGTTTTTCATTTTTCTCTGTACATATAATTGTTGTACAAAGTTGTTGAAGATAAGGTGTTTGTTTAAAAACATGAGATAAATAACGAAAATCACAGTTTATATTTTTAATCGAAAGATATTTTATAGATGATGATAAAATTAAAAGTTTCGTAAAACATATTCCTTTTGACATCATATTATCTATATGACAATTAATTAATTTTGGTAAATTCCAAATATTATTAATTAAATCATTTTCATTATTATTAATAAAACATTCAATCAATTTAAGATGTGTTAAATATAACAGTTGATGACATTGTAAGATGATTTTATTCAATAAATCAATAGATTGAATTGATTGAATTGAAAGTGATTTTAAATGAATAAATTGATTAAAAGTAAAATTATAAGAAAGAAATATTTCAGAAAGATTTGGTGTTTCCTCATCATCAGCTAAATAAAATGAAACAATTTTATTAATAATTGTTGAAAGATGTTGTTGACAAACAATAGTAAAAGTATATTTTGATACAGATCGAAAATTCAAATGATAAAATTTGAAAGAAATATTGAGAAGTTTGTTAAATCGACAATTTAAACCATAGAAAGCATGAAGAAGATCAATAGCATCGAGATATTCGAATACATCAAGTATCAATTCATTAGGTAACTGTTCAAACTTCATAGTATAATACAGAAAATATAATAAATATATATTTTTTTCTTTGCTAGAATTGATTCTATCGAATAGAATGAAATCAATTTTTTTTTTGTTGCTTCTGCTGATGAACGCCATCTATCGTAATCTGTATAGCTTTAATAATTGTATAAAAAAAATTATCGTTATCATTAGACAAATATAGAGATACATTTCATGACAAGAAAAAATTCTTGAAATATTTTAAATTGTAATTTATCAATAGACCAATAGTTTTTTTATAGTTTTCGAAAACCGAATTTTTCCAATTGAAGACATTCATCGATAGTTTTCATTCCACCACATGATGTTTCATTACTCAATGACATACCACCAATACAAACAGCCAAACGCAATGTTTTATCTAATGGCCATTGTTCATGAATACCGTAAATCATTCCTGCAGCAAAAGCATCTCCAGCACCAACGGCACCTTTGATAAATTCAGCTGGTAGAATGATTGAACCTTGTTTTAAAATATTTCCATCTTTGGTAATCAAAATTGCACCTTGTTCAAAATGGATTGTTACTGTTTTTCTAACGCCTATATCAATGAGTTGTTTAGCAGTTTGTTGAATTTGATCGATATTATCACTTGTTAAATGTTGATCGAATATTAAACCAGCTTCTGTTTCATTGATTATTAAATGATCGATAAATGGTAAAGAGGCTTGAGCAATTTTCGAATAATTTAAATTTTTTCCACTAGAAAAATCAACAATCGTTTCTAGTCCAGATAAATGTGCAGCTTCTAATACTTTTGATGCATTTGTTCGTGTATTATCGTCAATGAACTGATCTAATCTAGCTAATTGAGTTAAAGGACCAAGATAAAATAATTTTGCCGTTGTTCGAGAAAAATCAAAATGTTGTTCATTCAAACATGCATTGGCACCTTGTTGATGAAAAAATGTTCGTCGATCGGAATTTTCAACACTCATTACATAAGTGCATGATGTTGGAGTACTATCATTAATTATTTCTAATTGGCTCGTGTCAATATGGGATTTTATACAATCTTCTATCAGCCATTTACCATTATCGTCATTACCTATTAAACCAAGAAGTGATAGTGGAAAATAAGCTTTCATGGCTACAAGATTTTTAACAATATTAAAAGGTCCACCACCACCAACTATAGTTGGTGGACGTTGAACAAACGATGTACAATTTTCCATTGGCCAATGATCGATGATAATAATATAATCGACAAGAATGCTACCGCTAGCTATCAAACCTCTTCGATCAGTGCGTTTTATCGTCTCAACTAACGTATGTTCCATTCTTTTTATTTGAATAATATTAATTTTGTTCAAATCTAGAAATAATAAAATATAATTATTAATCGGATAGGACTCAAAAGAGTTTTTCTTTAAATTCTATATAGATTGAATTGACATTAAAATTTATAAACATTTTTCTATATCAAAATATTCACAGACATTGACGAACGTTCGTTCATTTTACTAGAAAAAATACCAGTTCCGAAAGTCTAGATAATAATTTTTTGATTATGTCCAATTCTAATTGATTTTAAAACAATTTCTTTGGTGAAACATCACTCTAATCAAATTGTTTTAAAAGGAATAAGAATAACATTTGAATGCAAAAATTATGCATCTTATCTACCGACATATTGCTGATCATGATTCACATTGGTCTGAATCATTTCGATCAAGTGTGTAGTTGAGTAGCCTTCAATTAAAGGAATATTTTTGACACTTCCACCATTATGAAGAACAATATCAGCTCCAACAATTGTGTCAATCGTGTAATCTCCACCTTTGACTAGGACATTAGGTCGAACAGCTTCAATTAGAGCAAGTGGAGTCAATTCGTTGAACAATGTTACAACATCAACGAACTGCAGAGCGGCTATAAGACGTGCACGGGCATATTCCTTGACTATAGGTCGTCCAGGACCTTTAATCTTATGTATTGATTCATCAGTATTGAGACCTACAATTAATTTATCACCTAGTTGATGAGCTTTTTCCAAATAATCGATGTGACCCAAATGAATAAGATCAAAACAGCCATTGGTAAATACTATAGACTGCTCTTTGAAATGTAGTTCTTCAGCTAATTGAATGACTTGTTCGAGAGTGAGAATTTTTGATTCTGTAGTATGATGATTGTGCGACATAGAATAGCTTCGAAATTTCAATCTAAACAGACCTCTATTAAAAACAAATATTGAGTACAAAACGTATAAAACTATTGTACAGATCATTTTCATAAAATTTTACATGATCAAGCCAAAAAATTGTGAGAAAAAAAAATTAGTTTTATATTGTTTATTCTTGTAGGAAAATTCAGATGTTCATCAACAGTTTTGCTCTTTTCTCTATGATCTATGCCATCGAAAAATAAACAACCATTTCATTAATGGTATCAGAGTCAATCGATCTTTACTAGCCCGTATTTGATGTTCTGTTTGTCATGAAAACTTTCTTACAGTTAATATGTTTTCATTGATCCACTGTGGTTTTTTAAGACTGTGTTATGTTAATTATTCATTGTAAACCTACTCTGAAAATAAAACATCATTATCTAGTTTTACTGTACAATAGTCAATATTGCGATTCTCTTATCGTTTGAGCGTAATTAATAATTTAACTGAGAAACACTGTAATACTATTACCTGTGGACGAAAAGCGATACAGTACGATTATACCTTGCACGTGATACTTCGTTAGTGTATGTATACCTTTTATTGTCATTTAATGATGCACAGGATCAAAAAAAAGTGAGAATCTTCGTTATCAATTGAAACGCTTGATTGGATTCGATGATATCACCTAAATACGATATGATTGAATACGAGTCTACAGCCAATAAAAAAAGCACGTTTTCTCATTTAGCCTACTCAACCTAATGGAAATAGTTAAAAACAAAAAAAATTAGACACAAATGACTTCTCTATGCAGTCTATTTTTATAGAACTCAACCAAGATAATATTGGGAATCATTTCATTGAGTTGCATACAATCAGGTATTTCAATAAGTGTTTCCTGAAAAAAAAATTCGAATCCTATGCTGTAATACTTCTCAATATTGTAATCATTCAATGTAGACGATTTCTTTTCTGTAACAATCGAATTCTACAGGAAGTTTATTAGATAGATTATTGAAATCACTAAATCATTCAATAATATTTCATTCAAGCAATTTAATAGAAAGAAAACGTAGTTTAGCCTTGAGAAAAATATCAGCGAAGAGGCTCTTTGGAGCTGCAATAAAGATGTTCGTAATTTTTGTAAATTTTTCTCTAAAAATCATATAGACATACAATGAATCTAACAAATGTTTTCAATCAACTTCTTCTTTATTCTAATTCAGTCATAAGAAAAATAATTACAGATACATGTACAAAACAATAAAACACATTCACAAGCATGAACGGCTAAGTTGTAACGATTGAATGAGGGTGATGAAATATTATATAATATTTTACTGTTATAGAACTTTCCAGCAACTGTTAAAAAGACTACACAACTTTGCTATAATTGATAAAAAATCGTTTTTATATACATGTTCGCCTGGTATAAGGAAACTACGTATTACGTACGTAATAGATTATTATTTCGAATATCTAATACGACTTATTTCAATGTTTAAGTATAGCATCTAAAAACATTTCTCAATAATAATTCTATGATACTCATTGCAACGTTTTCAGGTATGTAAATTAACTCATACAACGATATTTTAACGCATCTATATTTGAGAAATGAAAAATATTTACTTGATATAAGAGCCATTGTTGTATATGAATTAACTTCAAGTGAAAATCTTGAGCAGGATTACTTAGTGTTACCTATTAAATTTGTATATTTTAGATTAATTATGTTAAACTGATGTTTTCTGATTTTATATAACTTTTGAAACATTTAATATTTCCTGCAAAGCACTAGTGACTAGTCGTAAGTAGCTTTTACAAAAATATCTATCACTAGATGACATTAAAATACGAACGAAATACTTTGAAATACACAACAAATGATAAATGCAGAGATTATTTATTGACAAGTTCAAAACAATATTAACAATCAGTCATAAGTCATTAGAAATAAGAAGTATTAGAATCACTAATAAAAGATTTTAGAAATATTCAAAAAGTAGATAAAGCATATAATATATTTTATTAAATTGTACATAAGATCAATATAATCAATACTATAGGCAGATCGAATCATTAATATTGCAATTAGTATTCGAGTAAAAATTAATGGAAATATTGGTATTAATGACTTTGGTAAACAACTGTAATCTCGTGATACTTCAACAATATCAATAGAATTCATCTCAATTTACTGTTCAATTAATGCAGATAAGTTTTGTATCGAAATTATCGTTTGGAAACTATTCTTACGAAGTGAATCTAGATCATAATGCATTACAGTATCAATTATAGAAATACTGAATTTTTCAAAATTGTATTCTATAACTAATATAATGAAGTATTGCTATATAGTTCAATCACTTTTTTTATTTGATTGAAATATATGAAACACAATCAGGTCATGATTGTTCATGATTAAAATCTTTCACAAAACAATAAATTTACTATCAACCAAAGATATGTAGTAATCTCAAATAGAATGAATGAATGTTTTTTATCTTGTTTTTCATAACTTTCATAAATATAAAAACATTTGATATTGTCTAATGTCAAACAAAAATTATAAATGAAGAACGAGCCTAGATTTCTAATATAATCAGATAACAAATGACTCATTCTGAAAAATCATTGTCAAAAAAAACAGCATTATTTAATCAGAACAAAAGTGATTATAAAATATTCTGCTTTTGTTAATTCATTTATGACATGAAGTACATAAATGCAATTGAACAAATTACTTATAAAAGCAAGTTTCAAAATGCAACCTTATGATTACAGTAAAAATAATACCTAGTAATCTGCGTTGATATCAAAAAATTCTCTGTGAAATTCTACATAGATATAAATATATGCATTTTCAGCTATCGAATTTTATAAATAAAGTTGATATAAGATTATTTCTTTCTTCTAAAATATTCTCCTGATACAAAATTAAAAATATTCTTAGGAAATCGAAAAATATCAATCAATTTCAATATAACTAGTGAAACTGTTTTCAACTAAGATAAACTGAATAGTTTCTGCAATATTCATCTTATTATTTCATTATTCATATCCCTTGTTTTTCGCTCTTCAATAACATGTGATAAATCAACTTTTTCATCATTTATTTTCATAGTAAGTGGATGACTACTATTTTACTACGAAATGAAACAAATATTAAATCAATCAAATATTATCTATATTAGTCGTAATATATATGTGTCAGGCAAATTTGGTATTCAGGCAAAATCGAACTAATGATAAAATTTGTTGTTTTGAAAATATTGGATACAATTTTGTCTAGTCAAAATTAAGTCTCTGCATAATTGAAATTAAACACCAAATTGGTATATTGGCTTCAATATTGTTCTGAAGTTATATTTTTTCATTAAATTCTTTTTATCGTTTACTAAAATTTTTTATTTATTTTTAATGATGGGGACGTGGGGATATTGATAATTGGTTAGATTTTTTTCATCAATTTTTTTCCTTTGCAAAAATTATTTATTTTTTTTAATGATGGGGACATGGGGACATTGACGATTGTTTAGATTTTTTTTTATCAATTTTTTTTTCGTTTGAAAAAATTATTTATTTTGTTTCGATGATGGGGACATGGGGACATTGACGATTGTTTAGATTTTATTTATCAATTTTTTTTTCGTTTGCAAAAATTATCTATTTTTTTTCGATGATGGGGACATGGGGACATTGACGATTGTTTAGATTTTTTTCATCAATTTTTTTTCCTTTGCAAAAATGATTTATTTTTTTTAATGATGGGGACATGGGGACATTGACGATTGTTTAGATTTTTTTTATCAATTTTTTTTTCGTTTGAAAAAATTATTTATTTTGTTTCGATGATGGGGACATGGGGACATTGACGATTGGTTAGATTTTTTTCATCAATTTTCTTTTCATTTACAAAAACTTCGTATTTTCTGCAATGATGGGGACGTAGCGATTTCGGATGTTTGGTGAAATTTTATCACGTAGTCTTTTTTATAATTCAATGACATTGCTTGTTATTTTCATCAGAGGGACAGCGGATACTTGGTTGAGCTTCAACGAGTAGTAAGCTTTTTATCAGCAGCGTCTATAATGTGTTTGGACTGTTTTCTTCTAAGTTTTTCCGTTTTATATCATTTTGTTTTTATTGAGTAATTAATTGATTATTATGGTAGAATGATTGATTAAGAAAATGACTTTAGCATGGTTCAAAACCTGTTTCATCTGGTTTTATATATAAAAATGATTATCACTCAAAAGTTTTCGGATATCATGTTTCATCAAGATTTTGGTCGATGGAAGTTCGCTTCTCACTAATCGATAAATTCAATAAAAAGCTGTTTAGAGAATTTGTATAGATTTTCAAAGTTGCCTTGGTTTTTTTGTAAACATTATTTTGAATTTCATACAAATTATTAGCATATACTGTGACCGATTCGAGCAAGGATTTTGGGGGTTTGGAAAAAATTTAATAATATTGGTACAATAGAGATAAACTGTTTTTCGAGTTTGACACACTGAGCATTGCGCAATAAATATTTGTAACGATGAGCGATTTATCCAACTGTAATTTGTAGCAATATATGCGAGACATTTGTCTCGACCATCATCAGCAATCTGATGATGGCTTGTCTGATTGATATCGAACATATCCTGATATAAAAGAACAGATTTAACTTCTTTAAAATCACATAACAGTTGATGACTGCCGATGAGATGAAGCGTGAATGTTAGTTTACACCAGCGAGAAAAACGTCTGGAAACTTTTTCAGTAGGTAACTTGCTTTGAAGTACTTAAGTTAGTCCAAAAGTAGTGGCGCAGGCATATCAATTCCTTATAGAAAGCTCTGAGAAAGTTTTTTTTCTATATAGTCTGATAGAGAAAAGAAAGCTCTATTTTTCTATGCTATTTGATCATACTTTAACTAATACCATGATAATAAATTTTTCGTAAGACTTTTTTTGTTAACGTGTTTCCTCGTTGTACTAGCTCACAATGAGTCAGATGGATTAGTTTTTTAGTTCAC